TCGAATCTAACTCATGCGCTGTTTTATTAAAACGAATACAACGTTTTACTCAAAACATATTTTTGAATGATTATTAAACCTACAGAAAGATACAAGATGGCACTACAACTTTTATATGGACCTCGATTACAAATAAGGGCATATAACATGTGATAAATCAACCGACATTCAAAACTAATTTCTGTCAAAAATCTTGAACACAAGTTATACATAGCTTCAGTCAAACAAGTACAACTTTTGCTACAGATATCATCTCGTCTATATCCCTACATATTTAGAAATATAAGGAACAACTCTACAATTTTCATGAAGACTACAAATTCATTTGAGTATGTTAGAATATAGAAAACAGACCAAACACAAACAACTACATGCTGCCAGGTTTTTCAGAAAACTGCTTGCACACTGATTTTAAAATGACCCCAAAATACAAAAGGTTTTTGCAAGATTCTTGAACTTACAGAAAGCTATTTGAATAAACTACAATGCTTATGAAGAGCATAATTTCAAGAAAGACGTTCTTGAAGGTCTACTCAGAGCACGAAATAGAGATACAGAAACAGTAATTTTTCCAGTAAAATCTAACGAAACTTCAACGATTTAAAACCCGACTAAGGCATCTTAAGCCAATCTCATAAGTACGATTTTTCATACATTATAACATGATTATCATCACATAATTTTCAGCAATTAATCCTAATCACATAAGCATGAGCAATGGTTAAAGAAACATGTACATAACATCGAACTTCCTTCATTTTCATAAAATCTCGCCGACATGATCTTATTCTAGTATCCTCGACTCATCCTACTACTTAAGCAAGCATAATCATTCAACTTTTCAAGATTTAAACACTTTTTAAAAATCATCATTGAAAACAAGTGATCCAATATCAAACTTGGAACTCTCTTCTTTACTTTTAAACTTGATCTTCATGGATTCAATTAAACCTTTAAATATTTAAATCTTTTTAATATTTAGAACACATAAATCTCAGCCCATGGTAGGAAGAAGGTCGGTTTACCGTGCTCTGCAAAAAGAGAATTAAAATCGGCTCGTGGAAGGAAGGGTCTCGGCTCGGGTTCTCGCGTGGTGCTTGCGGTGACGTCTCGCGTGGCTGGGACTTACTCGTGGATGGCAGGGCTCGGCCATGGGTTGTAATACGCCGGGAACAAAATTCTCATTTTTTTTTCTTTCTTTTGATCAGATAGGTGTATGGGAGAGTGGAGGGAGAGGCTCGTATAATATACGTGAAAGGAAAATAAATCTGATGGTGAGGGGAATATATTTATAATGCTAGGGTTAGGAGACTTGAAAAAATAAAAGGAGTCTTTATTTTGGTAGGAATGTGATTTCTTTTACTTGCTGACCAAGACTTGGATTTTCTCTCTTCTCTTTTTTTTTTTCCTCACGTGAAGCTTGATAGGGCGAGATTTTATTTGCTCTTTTATCATCTTAGATTAGAACTCCTTGTCCTTTATTGCTAAAGTTTTAATTAAATAATTAAAATTATTGTTAAGGGATTTTAATTATAAAAAATTAATTAGATAGGGATATCTAATTAATTCTCATTTATTCTCTATTAATAAAATTATATGAATGAGGACATCCACTTAATTTCCATTAAATAAAATTAAAATGTCGAGCTGAAATTAAATAAAAATGCATGAAATTAATTATGCTCGTTTGGGGCGCTACACAAAGAAGGGGCGAATCGGTATCTGTACCCAACTCTGTGAAGGAATCCGTGAAAGACATGAGTTACACGCTAGCAAGCCTGAAGGAGGATCAACAGGATCAAAAGGAGTAGAAGGAGACTTTTCTTCTACATGATGCTATGGAGCTTCCTGACTCTGTCTACAAGGTTGCTTTGAAGAAAATACCAGACGCGATGGCCCGTCATATGTTTCTTAACATGGCGAATGACCGGAAACGACGCCCCTTTGTGGAGGTTTGGGTTGAGGAGGGCTCGGGAAGTGGTTGACGGCTATTCCTTGTTTGTGATTTGATTATGGAAAACTTTTCTCTTCCTCATTACATTGGTTCCATGTTCTAGGGTGATATCTTGTAGAACATTTGTGTGCTTGCTTGAACTATTTGCTTGGATTGCTTTATTATGTGCATTTTATCATCCTTTAATATTTTCAACTCTAAATTATAATGATTTGTAGGATATCATACGTAAACGACAATATTGGATATGACGGCGTAGACGACATTATGGAAACGGAAGTTGAATCCCCGGACCATTTGAACCATCAGACGATGAGTTTGTTGAAGATATTGTAGAAGATATACATGTGAAAAGGCGACAGCCAAAAATTGCACGTGCAATTAATTAGGCACTATTTTTGTGTCACATTTCAAAAAAATAGTACGACTTAGGGAAAGCTCACAGTCCACATTCGAACCGTGCAAGAGAAAACCCTACCGCGAACCAAGCATTACTGGAATGCAATGGGTAAATGAGCTTATGGAGGGGAACCCAATAAGATTTTATGACGCCATGGGTGTCGATAAACAAGTTTTCCGCCGGCTATGAGGAGAAATGTTCATGGCCCTTACAAGCAAAAAAAAAGTTTGCATTGAAGAAAGTGTTGGTATGTTTTTGCACACGATAAAAGGACATCAATGATATAGGCGTTCAGCTGAGACTTTCAGATGATCTAGTGAAACTATTTCACGACATTGTCATATCATTATGATTGCCTCGCTGATATGGGACCTGACTACATTCTACCACAAGACGTGAATCGGGTACCAGCTTGGATACGGAATAATAACAAATTTTATCCATATTTCAAGGTGACAATGTTTTTTTTTTTTTTATTAATATAATTTTAGTTCTTTCATTCTTCTTCATTAAGCTTTAACTATCGTTACTAATAGGACTGCATCGGCATAATTGACGACACCATAATACCAGCACGGGTTCCCCGGGGTCATCAGGGGGCTTACAAATGCAGAAAATGATATTTAGCCTAGAACGTCATGGTCGCTTGTAATTTCGACCTGAAGTTTACCTTCGTGTTGGCAGGATGGGATGGTAGCGCTAATGATGCTCGAATTTTCAAAGATACTTTGTCCAATCCAAGGTATCAATGCCCTTTTCCACCACCGGGTATGTCCGCCTTCTCAAATAATCTCTTTTAAATTACACAATCTCAACTTACATTCACTCATTTTTGTACACTAAAACGAAATAATTTTTTTGTAGGTAAATATTATTTTCTCGATTCTGGGTATTCAAACCATCCTGGGTTTTTGGCGCCATACCGCGGCGAGAGATAACATCTGCCTGAGTGGGATGATTCAAATAGGACCCCCAGAAATACCCGTGAACTGTTTAATAAACGTCATGCAGTTGTACATAATGTCGTCGAACGGTCTTCTGGTATACTTAAAAACAAGTTTCCAATTTTGAAGAATCTAATGTCGAGATACTCGCTTAAATCACAAAAGGACATGGTTGTGGCCTGTTGTGTGCTACACAATTTTATACTGAGACATCAAAAAAAGAATATGACACGGGCGCAGTTCTTACAACCCGATTATGTTCCCCAACGTGATGCGGATGATATGACATTCCCGTTTATGGATAGATTGGATCCCTCCACGGCAGGTGAAGGGGAGCAATGTACATTGCTTGATAGAATTGCAACAGCTCTATTGGAGGATCATGTGAATGACAATCGTTAATTTCATCACTGATCTATTGTTTATGAGGCCCTGCATATTTTATTTGACGTTGTGTTTGAAGTTCGTGTAACATTTGTGACATTTACTAGTAATCCAACACTTCACTTTGAAAGTAGTACCCCTACATGTCCAGTACAAATTTATTTTATTTATTTTTAGATTATGTATAAGTATATACACATATTAATAAATACATATATAATTATATGGGAGACAAATAGCAGCTTATATTATATTATATTTCTATATAAGACAAACATACTAATAAATATAGATATTAATAAATACATACTATATACATATTAATAAATACATACTATACACGTATTATATATAAGTATATATACACATATTAATAAATACATATATAATTTAATGGAGAGATAGCAGCTTATATTATATTATATATCTATATATAACAAACATATTAATAAATATACGTATTAATAAATACTATACACGTATTAAATATAAGTGTATATATAAGTATTAATAAATATATATTATATTATATGTAAGTATACATTTTATGACAAACATATTATAGTATACACGTAATAATATAATTGAATACATTTTATATGACACACATTATATTATATTATATGAAAAACATATTACAGTATACATTTTATGATAAATATATTATATTATATATAAGTGTATATACACGTATGAATAAATACATATATAATTTAAATAATTTAATTTATGAGTGTTTTTAAATATGTATATTTTTTTTATATATATGAAAAAAATAACATGATAAACACTTAAAAAATTAAATATTAAATATATTATTAATTTATGTTCTAAATAATATTCACTTTGAACCTACTTACTTAAATTATTTATAAAAACAAAAGATATCAGAATTTTTTTCTCCTACCAACTACTTAGGCAAAATGATGTTGGTCAAGTATTAATTTTTCATTATTTTTGTTTAATATGACTTCTTTCGATTATGAATAGTTTGACAAATTATATTTCCATGTTGTAGTATGTAAAAGAAAGTACAAAGCCTTGAGATGCAAATTACAAAAAGCAGTAATATGTAAATTGTATGAACATTATATTGAACACATAGATTTAATATATGTGTCTCGTGCATCACACAGGCAATAGAATAGTTTAACCAAGACAAATTAATTCCAACCATAAAAAATTATGAAAGGGGACCATGCCTTACATGTCGTTGTAATAATCATCTTTGCAATTAATTTCCTCACTCACTCCTTCATGTTTNGTTTATAAATAGACTTGTAATGAGTCCTTCCGTGGTCACACCATCCAAGCAAACATGTTCACATTTCCACTGCCAAAAAATAAGAGTGAGCACTTTCAATTTGTGCAAGAAGGAGTTGCAAATAAATGGAATTCATCTGCTAAGGAATTATTTCGGTAATCATCCAAAGATTCGTTCAGATAAAAGGCATGACAAAAGAGTCTGATATCCTTGATGCCTTCGAAAATATTCACCAAGCGTGTTTGTCAGAAATTGATCCGAATCTCACCTTCAAAGAGTGTTATGTCACGTTCATGGTCATAAAAGAAAGGTACCGTACGTTTAAATATTTGATGCACCGAACGTAGTTTTTACCGTCAACGAAAAATACCTACATGTTGACGGGTATACACTGGAGATTGCAATTGAGGTAATTGACGTATATATTATTGTGTTGTTTATTTATTATAAAACAATATCCTAAAACTCATTCATTGACGTACTTTCCCATCTTTCACGTTGTTTCTCCATTACTCTGTTGCTACAACACTGGGCACTAGCAGAGCATTATTTTAACAATCCAGAGCCTATGTGGGATACCCTAACAAGAACATTTGACGATTTAAGCCTCGACAACTACCCGGACGAACAGTTTTGGAAAAGACACCCAGATTTTCTGACTTTTGAATAATTGTTGGTCGACTACTGGGCTGAAGAGGCGCCGCCAGGCGGCGCGTAGAAGGAGGCGTTAATATAACGACCGTTTGGACCATTCTTTGATTCACAGTGTCAATGTATTTTCACTTTCTGTATTATGTAATGTTTCATAGTTTGGTACCGGATTTGCCTAAATGAATGAACATTTCTTTAACTAATTCTTGTACGGTAAATTATTTATAATTATTCAAAACCGTAATTTTGTTTTCATAAGTAAAAGGAAGATGATACGCGCGGTTTAAATGAACTGGCCCAAATCTAATTTGTTATTAAGGAAAAGTTTTTCCAAAATGAATATTGTGATTTTGTTGTAACAAAAAGGGTACAACTTATCTAAACCAACAATAAATGTCCTTTTTATTTACACATTTTTAAATACGAAAATATTATTTTGTCTTCAATAAAATTCGGCGCTTCTCGACAGTTTTATTTTCGTCCGTTTATACAAAGTTTGGACATCACCGCATTATACATGTTCGACTAGATCGTATGTGTGTTCGATGGCTTGGTCATTTATATTTATTAATATTTAGTATGGTTCCATATTTATATATTATGCTATATGTATGTACATATTTATTGGAAATTGCACTTTCTACGCGAGAAGCCGAATATATTTGAAAATTGGTAATGCAATTTTCAATATGTTCGTATTTCCAAATTCCACTTCTATTTCATTAAAAACTAGTGTGTAGCCCGTGCGATGCACGGGAAAATAATATTAAATAATAATTATAAATTAAAGATGCTGGTAAATAGCATTAAATAATAATAATAAATTAAATATTTAGGATTAAAATGTGATATAATTTACGTATATCGGTTTGTTGTACAATATAAAATTATAATGTACAAAAGAACACAAAACATGTATGTTTAAAGTATTAAAAATACCTAAAATAACATATGTAAAGATATCTAAAAGATTCTACATTATTCTTAAAAAATGTTAAGTCACCTAAACTTCCACTAAACTATTTTGTAAAAATAAAATGTCTAAAAGCACATAAAGATATAAAATTTAATGTATAGAATGGGCAAAAAAAAAAAAAAAAAAATCTAAAAAGTATCTAAAATATTTTGTGTGTGAGTATTGAATGTGTAAAAAAAGTATCTAAAATATTTTTTGAGTAAATAATAAGTATTACAATCTAATATCTCACATTGAACATTGAACTTTATGACAGAATATTTACATAGTAGATATTGTCTATATGTCTTGTATATCAGTTTTATATTGTTACTATCAACATTGTCTATATGTAATGTATCGCATGTCTAGTGATTTTGATTATATCTCTTTTATCATATTTTGTATCGATCCATCCAGTAATTCTTATTTTTTTACCCATTTCATAGAAATATATTATATGAATTTGTGTATATCTCGCAAATGCTAACACATTTATTATGAAATACATAATTTGGAGCAATTGTTAGAAAGAATTATTATTCCTTACATTCGAATATAATACATAAACCCATATAGAAATTTCAGAAATTTTTATTTTGTTGAAAATTTTTAAATGATGAAAAACTATAAAATAAAAATATAATAATTAAAATTAATATGATATAAAATAATAAAATATTAATTTAAAATGGTTAAAAATTAAAATATCAGATCTGTAATAGTATTATTTTAATTGTTAGGTTTGTAGTAATATTATTTGAATCTATTCACAATCTTATTGGCAAAAATTTAAATTTTTCATCATAAATATAATTAAACAAAAAATGAATAATCAATTATCTTCATTATTCATATACTAATTAATTAGGTAATTGATTTTAATCTCGTTAATCTTGCTTTATCTGCCGACAAATACTCAAATTATTCCCTAATCTTACGTGTTGCCCTTGTCATATCATATAATATTATTATAGATTTGTTACTAAGATAAAGATGGATTTTTTTTTTATTTCAATCTTTGGGATTTAAATATTTTCCAGAAAAATTTAAAATATAATTAGGCAAGTTTTGTTGAAATTTGAAATTTAAATATAACAAATTCCATGATTTATGGTATATTTAAATGCGGCCTAATTTTTTTATTAAAAAAATAAAAAAAAAACATTCTAAAAATAGAATGTAATTAATATTCCCAGATTTTTTTACTTACTATTTTCAGTAAATAGTAATTCTTATTATATATATAGATAACATAACACAATGTTTTCGAACACAAACGAAAATCTGATGTGCTTTGTTCCAAAAATTTTGGCTCCAACAACGTCATACAAACTTCAAGTAAATTTGATAATCCAATAATTCACTTCTAAAAAACAAAAGTGATACAATGAATAGAAATTAAAAAATTCCGATTGCATGTAGAAAGACAGATTATTTCGCAAAACTTATTGGTATTAAGAAAATTCCGATTGATACATTTGTATTTTGTTGTCCGATTTGATTTATATTAAAAGGAATAGTTGTTATCGAACACGGCCGTTAATTGAACACCTTCGTTTGCGATAATTCNTCATTTTTAGATTGATAAACAAATGAGACTATCGAGGCGTAAGAAATAAAAACTCAATTCAACTTTTCACCACAAGTTAACTCAATTCAACTTTTCACCACAAGTTTCGGCCAAGTTAACGCGGAATACCTCAGCAGCAGCAACTATTTCAAAGAAATCTTTTAAGACCATGTTTTTCAGAAGCCTTGTGTTGACAACCACCGGCTTTCCAACCGTAAGGGTTCCTGTCTTGTCAAAAACTATGCAGTTGACCTGTTACAACAGCCAGTACAAACTAGTTAAATGAAGATCATCAGTTTCCCTCCAAAACAAAAATAAAATAAAATAAAATAAATTAATATGGAAGCTCCTTTGTGCTCTTGTGGCAGGGGTCCTATGATCCTTTTAATGGCAAGAACTGAAAAAAACTATGGAAAATATTTTTTCCATTGTCCAGCTCGTCAACAACACCACCGGTGTTTCATTTGGGCGGAGGAAGTTCACTGTCAATATTCTTCCCAATCAAGTCATAGTACATTCCGAAATGTTCACGGTACTTCATCACAAACAACTGCAGATAGCGTGCATGCAAAAAAATACTCTACAACTGCAAGCACACGGAGGCAACCAGTGACGACGAGCTCGACGATAACTGATTCGTCATTAATGTTAATCGCGTGCTCAATATGTTGTTTATTTTTATTTTTTGTCCTTGGTATTTTCTGTTGTGTAGCCATTGTCAAAATTTGGAATCTGTAATTTTGGAATTGAATTTATGGTGTTTTTATCAGGCATTAATACAATTTTATGTATGTTTTATTATGTATGTCTTTGATCCGAACGACTTTGTACATTTTTATTAGTCTATCTGTTCGGCCCATTTTTGAACCACGTTTGAGGTCATGCACTTCATTTTTTGTGAATATAAAAAACTGTCCAGGTTATCGGTTACAATTTTTTTATATTATCATGTTCCAATTATTGGCTACAATTTATGGCAACAAAAAAAGGCCTGCTACACAAATAGTGGAGGGTCCCACTTAATTTGCGTGGAATACCAGATGTGAAACCAGAACCTGTCAGATAAACTCAACAGTGCAAAGTCAGATTTAATTGGGCCAAATTGGATTTAATTTGTATCCAAGCATACTCTAAACTTTCAATCCAAAAGCCCATTCCTCAGAAGTCTTGGTCAATCCCTTTTTTTTTCTTTTTCTTTTTTTTTTTCTTCTTTCACCTTCATCCTGTCATTTTCTCCTCTCTTTCCTTTCTCCTTTTTTTCTTCTTCCCTTATTTCTCCATTTTCCTTCTCAAAATCCAGACACAAAAATGCCAAATCTCTTCCCCTAAATTATTTTCTCCAAATTATGGAATTTCCCCACTAAGTGGAACACTCGATTTATTGGTAAACGGAAAACCAATATTATTTATGTAAAGCTTAAATTCTCAAATTTATTAAGCACCCAGCTTCATTCACAGTCATCGTCAATGGAGTCCAAGATTAAAGATAAATAATTAGATTTCTTAATCAACTACAAATCCCACCGTGGAACAACAGACCATTAAAAGATAAATAATTATATTTTTTAATCAACTACAAATCTCTCCCTGCAACGACAGACCTATCCTGATTCATCACATACTCAATACATATAATTTCATAAACAACGCAACTGTCAAAAGCACATAATAAAACATTTACAACTGCATAATAATACCTAATAAGAAATCAAAAGCCTAAAATGATTTTATTTTTATTTATCTATCATTTAGGGAGAAATAACCGTACTGCAGAGGGTACAAATAACTTATAATATTTTATTTGCATATGTGCAAATGCACATGATTATGTCAGAATCCAACCAAACTTATGGTTAATAGCATTTAATGAGCCATTTCTTTTTTTGACTTTTGGGCACCAAAATTAAATAAAGGTCTATCCGTAAGGATTTGAAAGATTTGGTACTGCAAAGTTTTCTATATAAATAGAGAGCAATGGACAGAGCTGAAGACACACCAAGCGAGAAGACAAAATAGCAGAAACAACATTCAGTTTCTGGAGTGTTAGATTTTTCAGCGAGAGAAAAATAGAGTGTTTGAGTAAATCCTGTGAGTGTGGGAAAAATACACCGGGTTGGGTATTATCTCTATTACTCCTTGTTTCTAGTATTTGAATAGGAGTGGGGTCTCACTGAGTCACTATATTTTACATTTCAAGTGTAGGAAAGTGTAAAAATATTGTAATTATCTTGAAAATATAGTGGAATTGTTCCAAGGTTGTCCCGTGGTTTTTTTCCTCTACATTGGAGGTTTTTCCACGTTAAATCTTGGTGTCTTCTTTCTTGCATAATTTATTTAATTGAGATATTCTTAGTATGCTCTGTGGTCGCAGTTTAATCTAATCTTCCACATTAGAAAAGAATTATACCTGTTTTATTGCAAGAGATATCTTTTGTCATTCTTGAGTTGCTGAGATTAAGATTATTATTCACCATTTTACTTCGGTGTTTTAATTTACACCTTCTGCATTTGCTCATCAGAGCCCAACAAGTGGTATCAGAGCTCAAGTTGGCCTATGTATCAACCTGTGTAAATTAAATGGAGGAGAACGTGGGTACCATGGTGAAGCTGACAACAACAAATTACTCCATTTGGAAGCCAAAAATGGAGGACATACTTTTCTACAAAGATCTGTATGATCCTGTAGAAAAGGGAGACAACAAGCCAGATGACGTGAAGGATGACGGTTGGAAAAAATTACACAAGCAGACCGTCAGTTTAACTATACAGTGGATGGATATCAGCATATTCTACCATGTTGCCACAAAGTCGAAAGCCCATACTCTGTGGAACAAAATTGAATAAATGTGTCAGAGGAAGACTGCACAAAATAAAGCTTTCGTCATTAGAAAGCTTGTAAATTTAAAATATCGGGACGGAAGATCAGTTGCAGAACACTTGAATGAGTTTCAAGACATGGTAAACCAACTTGTTACCATGGAAATGAAACTTGATGAAGAATTGCAGGCGCTGTTACTTTTGAGTTCTTTACCAGATAGCTGGGAGACTCTGATGGTCTCGTTGAGCAACTCTGCTCCTGAAGAAAAACTGACTTTGACCCAAGTCACAGACAGTATGTTTAATGAAGAAACAAGAAGAAAATACTCCGGGGAAAGCAGCTCCCAAGCCCTGGTCACAGAAACCAGGGGGAGAAGTAAAAGCAGAGGCGGGAATAACAAATCCAAAGATAAATCACAATCTCAACCCAGAAAAAAATATTAAGTGTTATCACTATGGTGAAGAAGGGCATATCAAAAGAAACTGCAAAGCCTGCAAGAACAGAGATCGGAGGAACAACAAATCAGAGAACGATGAAATTACCGCAACCTCTGTGATCAATGGGGAAGTGGTGTTGCTCTCTGTTGAAGAAGAAGAGTGTTATCTTGCAAATTCATGTGTTGAATGGGTCATTGACTCAGCAGCATCATACCATGCAACCTCTCACAAGGAATTATTTTCTCTATACAAAGAAGGAGACTTTGGTAGAGTAAAGATGGGCAACAACAGCATTGCAAATATTGTGGGAGTTGGTGATGTGTGCATTCAAACTGATATTGGGTGCACAATAACACTAAAGGACATACGAATTGTACCTGACTTACGTCTGAATTTGATCTTTGTGCATGCATTGGATCTAGCAGGCTATACTAACAATTTTGGTAGCGGCACGTTGAGGCTTACCAAAGGATCATTGTTAGCTGCTAGAGGCACAGTGAGATCGACATTGTACAGAAGTGAAGCTGATCAGGGGTGGACTTAATGCAGTCGAAGATGATGCTTCGCCAAATTTGTGGCACAAAAGTCTGGCTCATATTGGTGAAAAAGGATTGCAAATTTCGGCAAGAAAGTCCCTCATCCCGTTTCCCAAAGATTCAAAACTAAATCCTCGTGATCATTGTCTCTTTTGGAAGCATCATAGAGTGTCTTTAGCAAAACCTCGAAGCTGAAAGAGAATGTGTTGGAAATGGTTTATTCTATTGTATGTGGACCCATGGAAGTGGAGAGTCTCGGTGGTAGCAGATATTTCGTGACGTTTATTGATTATGCTTCACGAAAATTGTGGGTATATTTCTTGAGAACGAGAGACCAAGTTTTCCAGTACTTCAAAAGGTTTCATGCTATGGTGGAGAGACAGACCGATAAACCTTTGAAGTGTCTTCGCTTAGATAATGGAGGAGAGTATACTTCCCATGAATTCAAGAATTATTGTGCCGAGCATGGCATCAGGCATGAGAAGACTGTACCTGGAATCTCACAACATAATGGTGTGGCTGAAAGAATCAATAGAACCATTATGGAGAAAGTGAGGTGTATGTTAAGAATGGCTAAGCTACCTAAGCCATTCTGGGGTGAAGCTGTTCTAGCGACGTGCTACCTGATCAACCGATCTCCATCTGTTCCTTTGGGCTTTGATATCCCTGAAAGAGTATGGTCCGGACATGATGTTAAATACTTTCATTTAAAGGTGTTTAGATGCAAAGCTTTTGCTCACGTAAGCAAGGAACAGAGACAAAAACTTGATGATAAAGTCATTCCTTGTATATTTCTAAGATATGGAGATGAGGAATTTGGCTATAGGTTATGGGATCCAGAAAATCGGAAAGTTATCAGAAGCAGAGATGTAGTATTCCATGAGAAAGAAACTATGTCTGATTCTGCTTCACCAGAAACTAGAGAACTAGGTGGTAAGGTGGATTTTCACCTGTTAAACCTCCTAGAGATGCCACAGTAGGGGGAGAGTGTGATGGAGAACTCAGGGTTGATGATGAACCATCAATTGAAGATGGTGATGGTGAAGGTGTCGAGCAAGAAGACCTCGAAGCTCCGCCTCAGCTCAAGAGATCAAATCGAGCAATCAAACCATCTACGAGATACCCCAGATCCACATACATTACCATCACAGAAGAAGGGGAGCCAGAGAACTTTGAAGAAGTTCAGACTCATAAGGATAAATCCCAATGGATGAAAGCTATACAAGAAGAAACGGATTCACTAATGAAAAATGAAACTTATGAGCTTTTGAAGCTTCAGGAAGGTAGGAAAGCCTTGAAAAATAAATGAGTTTTCAAGCTTAAGAAAGATGGTGACAAACTGTTGAAGTACAAGGCTCGCTTAGTCATGAAAGGATTTCGTCAAATGCGAGGAATAGGTTTTGATGAGTTATTCTCTCTGGTTGTAAAGATGAGCTCTATTCGAGTAATACTCGGATTAGTGGCTAGCTTGGATCTGGAGCTTGAACAACTATATATGAAGACTGCATTTCTTCGTGAAGACCTAGATGAAGTAATCTACATGGAGCAACCAAAAGGATTTGAGAAGACTGGAAATGAGCACATGGTTTGCAGATTGAAGAAGAGCCTGTATGGACTAAAGCAAGCTTCAAGATAGTGGTATAAGGAATTTGACTCGTTCATGGCTAGTCATGGATATACCAAGACTGATGCAGATCATTGTGTGTTTGATAAGAAATTTCCAGGTGATAAAATCATTATCCTTTTGTTATATGTAGATGATATATTGATAGTGGGACATGATATGAAGTTGATTTCTGATCTGAATAAGGAATTGTCAAAGTCCTTTGATATGAAGGATCCGGGCCCTGCGAAACAAATTTTGGGCATGCAGATCATGCGAGATCGAAAATCTAAGATGTTATGGTTATCGCAAGAATGGTATG